TGTCTCAAAAAAAAAAAAAAAAAAAAAAAGAAAGAAAGAAACATGTCAGAGCCAGCCCAGGAGCTGGCCATGAGAAGAAGGTGCCCATGGTCAGTGAGAATTAGCTCACCCAAAGGGTGGGTCCCTCCATCTGTCCTCCTCCCCAAATGTGAGGGCTGCCCAGCACCGGGAACCCTGGAAGCCTGGCCCATTGGGCTACCTATGCCCAGCTCAGCCATCTTCTCCCCCTCCCCGCCCTCACCACTGATATCATAGCCTGAGGCTGGGAGTCTTGGTGGGGCAGTTGGTGGGGCCCTGCCTCCCCTCCCAGGGGCTGGGCCTACAGCGAATCTAGCAGGAGGAAGGGGCAGGCCAGGCCCCCACAGTCCTTCAGTTTCCTCCCACCCACCCCCCCACCCCTGGCTGCTAAGTCCTGGATCCTCCTTAACTGGGCCACCAATTTTGGAAGAGCGTCTGCCCTTCCCAGAAGCTCCTCTCCTGCTTCCTCTGAGCACAGCACCCCTACCTGCCCCTGACAGCTCTCATCTCTCCCCAACAAACCTCCCCCCCACTCTAAGGGCTGGCAAGACAGATGGCCAACTGCCCACTCTGCCTCTCCCTCCTGGTGCTGCTGGGCAACGTCCCCCAAATCCAGGTCCATCTTATTCGGAAATAAAGTCTTTGTGGCACTTATCAAGTTACAGTGAGGTCATATGGGGTGAGGGCATGCTTTAACCCAATAGCAGGAGCCCTCAGAAGAAGAGGGAAGTTTGGACAGGACACAGGAGCAGCTTAGGTGGAGAAAGAGGCAGAGCCTGGGGCGATGCATCTATTAGCCACAGCCGATAGGGATGGCCAGTGACCCAAAGCTGCAGATAGGCCTCAGACAGACCCTCTGTCACAACAGACTTCTGTTGTTTCTGAGCCCCTTGCCCTGATGCGTTACAGCAGCGGCAGGAAGCTCATACCCATCACTGCTTGGCACATGTCCAAGGGTCCCATGGCTACGAGGTCTTTGTTTCTGCAATAACAGAACCGGTCACACGGATGTGGGGGGGAGGCAGATGGAGAGACGGAGGGAGAGTCAGAGAGACAAAGAAAGAGGCTGACCTGAAGGACCAGATGACTAGCTACTCAGCGCCCACCCTGCAGCCTCCAGACCCCACAGCCAGCAACCCTCCCCCACCCAGCCCTTGTCTCTAGGGACGGTGACCAGGAGCCTGGCCAGCAGCCACTGGGTCAAGGGCCCTTGAGCCTCTGGAAGTAGCCGTCTCCAAGTAACGAAATGCCCTCCTAACTTGTTGGGGCTGCGCTGTGGGAAGCCCGAGCTTAGCCCTGGGGACCCCGACCCAACAAACAAACAGGGCCAGCGGCAGTGGCGGTGGCCTCCGGAAGCATGTGTCCATGCACGCGCACATGAGACCCTGAAAGCGCCTTGCAAAACACCACTTTGGCAGGACATGAAACCACTTGTCTGGACAGAAACCGACCGCAGCGGTGAACAATGTTTGGCAGCCGTGGAGGGCGCCGGCCCTGGTGTCGTAAATATTTATCCCTCTCCCAGGCTGCCCGCGGCGCTGGGCTACATGCTGCTCCCTCGGTCACCAGCCACCCTCCACCCCCTAAAGGGAAAGACCTGTAGAGAGGGCCGCTCAGCCTGCAGCCCCCACAACCCCCCGAGGAAAGACCCTCACTCCCCTGCAGCCAGCACCAGCCCCCACGGCTCTGGTAGCCAATGGGAGCACAGGCCTAGGGGTGCAGGGGCGAGGGGCAGCAGGCTGCCAGGCCTGCACAGGTGCCCACTCCTCTGCCTCTCCAGCTGCAGCCCCACGGGGGGCCACAGTGCAGGGGGTGTGGGCCTGCCAGGAAGGCCACATGCGGTGGCTCCACGCCCCAGGTCTCCTCCCTCCTCCCCCACTTCCTTCTCATGAACCTTGGGGAGGCCGGTGCTGGCCATTGATCAGGCTTGTTGGGAAGTACCTGCTGGGGGACTCCTAGGCACCCCACCTGGCCTCTCAAGTGTAGTCAGGGCCAGGGCCAAGCACCCATCATCCTGCATAGCTGTGTTCATGGATGGCAGGCACAGCTAGAACCAAAGGGCTTTCAGATTGCAAGGAAGTGGTAGCAGTTACCAGCACATGACAGCCACACCTGGACCCAGCCAGTGTGCAGTCACCTAACTCTGATCCCAGCTGCCGTCCTGGGGGGGGGAACTCAGGCCTAGGCAGGCTCTGCACTTACTGGGGCTTGCCCAGCCTGAGGACATGGACCCAGGGTCCCTCCTATAACCTCTGCCCCACTGGCCGCCCCCAGAGAGCTCAGGAGAGGAAGTATCTCCTTGTCTGTCCAGGGGCAGATTGGGGTACACTTGGTTTATGGAGCACAGAGCTTCTGCCTCTCACCCTCGGCTCCCTGCCCCTTTACTCCAACCACCCAGAGTTTTCTCTGTGCAGAAAGATCACTAAAGAAAGAGCAGTGGGGGCCAAGTACTCGGGACGTCAGGCCACACGAGCTGCCACCATCACTTGGTGAGCAAAGCCCAACACTCAGAGCTTCATCCACAGCATCCCTTGGGCTTGGACAGGGCACCTGCACCAAGTCCTGCAGCTGGCCTTGCAGGCTGAGGCACCGGCTGCCTATCAGCCCAGTGGCGGAGAGGCCTGGCAGTGAGGCCAGCCTGGGGTAAGGCAACGCAGGTCCCCACTGCAGTGGGGAGGCCCTGCCCTGCCCTCAGGGGGACTTGAGGATGAAGTCCCCAGCACCTGGCCTCTGGCTGAGATGAGCACCTGCTGCACTTGGGCCAGACTCAGAACAAGTCCTGGAGATGCTTCTGGAGCCAGGTCCTGAAGCCCCCATTCCTGCCACATCCACCCTCCCCTGCTGGACCATCACTGCCACGTGCTACCCCAGCCAGCTGACCCAGCTGCTCCACATTCCCTGGGGGCTTACAAGCTTTGGGGCCTGTCACAGGGACATACAGGGACATGAGGGCAGCCACTGGCCTCCTAGAGGTAGGGGAGAATTTCACAGAGGGCTTGGGTGAGATGGGTTTTGAAGGGTGAATATGAGTTCAACAGGGGCTGTGTATCTCACAGCCAACACTTAGGTTGTGGACCCAAAGAAATCAGAGATGACATTTCAACCCTGCCACTCAGTCCCTGTATGACCACTACGTGACACCTGAACCCTCTGGCCCTTGGTTTTATTTCTAAAATTGAGGGCTCAGTGGCTGCCTCATAAAGAATGAAGACCAGGGCTAGGCGCCTATAGCTCAATCGGCTAAGGCGCCAGCCACGTACACCTAAGGTGGCGGGTTCGAATCCCCAGCCCGGACCCGCCAAACAACAATGACGGCTGCAACCAAAAAATAGCCGGGCGTTGTGGCAGGCGCCTGTGGTCCCAGCTACTTGGGAGGCGGAGGCAGGAGACTCGCTTGAGCCCAGGAGTTGGAGGTTGCTGTGAGCTGTAATGCCACGACACTCTACCCAGGGGGACAGCTGGAGGCTCTGTCTCAAAAAAAAAAAAAAAAAAAAAAAAAAAAAAAAAAAAAGAATGAAGACCAGGCTGAGCACAGGTGGCTGGACCTTCCTGAGACTCAGCTCCCTATGAGCAGGGGGTCCAGAGAGCCAGGCCACCTCAGCGGACACTCCATCTGCTCATGACACTCTGCTTCTGAGCCTTGCTCTATGCCAGGCACCCCTGGCACGGGAGGTTTTGTCAGCCTAGTTCATGGGTGAAAAAAAGAGGCTGAGATCACCAGGCTGGTGGGGTGGAGCCTGTGATAAACCCATGAGCCCCTCAGGCCTCCAGTTCTCCAGGGGCCAGCCCCCTCAAGGGTGCACCTGAGGTCCTGACAGGCTGCCCCTCCATGCCCTCCCCAGGGGCAGGTCTGAGTATCCTCACTAACACCCGGCCGTGGCTTTCAGGTCCAGAATCCATTGCCTTGCAGAGTGGAGGCTGTCCCCAGGGATTCAGGAGGAATGACACACACCCACCACCTCATGTCACCCAGAGCCCAGCTGGGATACTGGAGCCAAAAGCAATCCCACATTGAGTTGGGCTGGTAAGCCCTGGGAACTCAGGCAAACAGGCACGCCCAGGGCTCTGGTTAGGGACAGGGACCCCCCAGTGCTATGAGGAAAGGCTGCACAGAACCCCAGACACAGCTGCTCCCACCTGGGGACCTCTGCCAGAGGGGCATCTGGATGGGATAATTTGGGAAACATCCCCCAGGCTAGCACAGCTGGACTCAGCCCCAGAAGGGGACACAAAGAGGAAACATGAGACATGAGCCTGGGTCATTGTCACCATTAGGTGCTGGTTCCAGTGAACTATATAAGGTGCTTCGTGAGTACTAGGGTGTCCAGAGGACTCTGGTTTGCCCAGGAAGAATAGGGGGCAGGGTGTGTACAGAGCGAAGGTAGATCTCAGCCATACCTAAGGGCCAGTCAGACAGGACAGTTGTCCACCCTTGGAACCTAAGGCAGAATGCCACATCCTGGGGAGGGGGGTGCTGCTGAGGGTACCAGACACCTCAAGCAGAGCCAGGAGGGGATACCCTGCCGGCACAAAGCCCAGGCAGCTGGGCCCTCCCTAAGAGGGGGACTTTCCCCGCCAACATTCTGGACACCCTGCCAAGAGGCTGCCGGTGCATCTCCCCTGCTCTTGCCGCCAGCCTGGAGACCACAAAGAAATTGGCTGAGTGGCCAGCCTGGGAGTCCCCAGCCCAGGGTCCCAGGGGCTTCTGGCTGCCTCCAGAAATAGCACCCTTCCACCATGGGCTGCTGACAAGACGTGGTTTATGTGACCTAATTTCCACTTATAAATACTTGTACTTCCACACACATGTGAAGGTCGGAAGGACAGACTGCAAAACGCACATTTGGAGAGAAAATAGCAAGGGGAGGTCTCTTGTTTTTGCTCAGGGTTGCTGGGCACGGAGGGGCCGTCCCTTAGCTGCAGGGTGCTGAGCCATACCCTGGCCCTCCCAGCTCACCCTCAGCAGCCAGACCTGACTAGGCACTGCCAGCATCACCCAGAGAGGAAGACACAACTGCCCCAGGCAAGAACCACTGTCACAGCCTCCTCCACTTGGTGCACTTACGAACCGCACAGCAGAAAAATGTGCACCATGAATGCAGCCGCCAGTGCTCCCTGGAGCAGCCCCAGCAGGTGTGGGAGCCCACACGGACCACCCAGAGCAGCTCAGGGCAGGCCCCAAGCCCCGGCTGAGGTACTGAGTACACAGCCTTATCTGTGGACTTGCATTCCAGCCTTCACGCCTGGACACATGGGCAGCTCCACCTAACACGGCAGCTGCCAGCTGCCCTCACCCACTCTGCATGGCAGGTCAGCAGAGCTGAGCCTGTGAAAGGGGGAGGCAAGCAAGGTCATTGCCTACATTCGATTTTGAAATAAAATCTTGAGCAATAAAAGGTTTTGTGTGAATTTAGGAACCAGGCCTGAAGGCCAGGTAACAGGAAATGGCTTCCACCTTTTGCAGGGCCCCTCCCCTCCAGGACCCCTCCCCAGGAGGACCCCTACCTCCTCCCAGTGTCCTCCCACCACAAAGGACCCAGTCCATGGCTAAGCAGGACAGAACCACAGTCTGGGAAGACCCTCCAGGGAGGGTTTGGAAAGGGCTTATCCTCAGATGAGGGGCTTCAGAAAAGGAGGTGGGGGTTGGCAGTCTTTTTTTTTTTTTTTTGAGACAGAGCCTCAAGCTGTCCCCTGGGTAGAGTGCCGTAGCATCACAGCTCACAGCAACCTCCAACTCCTGGGCTCAAGCAAGTCTCCTGCCTCAGCCTCCCAAGTAGCAGGGACCACAGGCGCCCACCATAACGCCCGGCTATTTTTTGGTTGCAGCCATCATTGTTTGGTGGGTCTGGGCTAGATTCGAACCTGCCACCTTAGGTGTATGTGGCTGGCACCTTAGCCACTTGAGCCACAAGTGTTGAGCCTAGAGTTGGCGGTCTTGAGACGAGGACAGGACGCTAGCCCCAGATGCCAGTGCTGCCCTTGGTGTGAGCAGAACCCCTGCCCGCCAGACCCAGGTTTCAGCACATACCTCCGCTCATGCCCGATGCACCACGCCTGTGGCCCACAGCTAGGCTTCCATATGGGCACCACGTGGCTGAAGGCCTGCACACAGGGCTGGCGGCGGCCCACCAGGGTCAGCTCCTGCTCCACACAAACATGGGGCCTGGGACAAGGACAGAGATAGTTAGTGCCTTGGCCACCAACACCCAGCTGGTACTCACCCTTCCTGCCCACCCTATCCTCGATGTTGGCCTGTTTGGGTTGGGGTCCAGACCCATGGCACCACAGGCCTATCCTGGAGGAGCCCGAGCTGGAGGGCACAGGGGCTCAGAGGGAAAAGGAGCGACCAGCACAGCTCTCCCACAATCCTGCACGCCGCTCCTAAACCTGTAGCTCCCAGCCGTGCGGACCCTGCCGGGCTGGAGGTGTCCTCTCCACCACGACCCTCCCCATGCTTTTTCCGAGACATCCCTTGAGCTAGGAGAACAGAAGCCTGGGGAATAGGACCCCAGACCTGCCCTGACTCAGGGCAGAGGGGGTCTCTACAGAGGCAAATTCTGGCACAGGGCTCTAAGGTAGTGTCCCCTGGTATCAGGTGGAATCTGGGGGCCCCTGAGGGAGAGAAGAGCTTCGTCTTGCTCAGCAAGCTCTTGCTCCCCAGAATGAGGGGCCAGGCATGCCCTGTGTGGACTAGCAGCTGCCTTCCATGCTGGGGACACAGCAAGCCTGTCAAATCCCCCGCCAGAGCTACTCCGGTCCCCTCGCCACCCCACCCCCCAACTCCCCTACCTAAAGTCCCTGCTCCACCAGGCGACACTGGGGCACTGTCAGCCTCTGTACCTAAAACTGTCTGGACTTGTCACCACCCTCCACCTGTGCCCTGTGTGAGGTCCACTTCTGGGCGGGCCAGTCCCCTGGCTCAGCTCTCGGAGACTCTGCCTGCCCCATCCAGCCACCCTGGCCCAAGCCCAGCAGTCCCAGACGGAAGAAGAAAAAAATAGTTTGCAAGAGGGACTATTTTCCTCCTTCCCCTTAGGATCATGCTGGGTGGGAAGCCTTGTCCCTCTGATTCTGGCCCCTCCCCCATTGCGCTGGACACATGGGAAAGTGCAGACCCAACTCGGCAGCCAGTGAGATGAAAGCAGTTCAAGGGGCAGGAATTCCCAGCTGGAAGAGTGGGGTCTGCAGCTGCCCATCAGTGAGGGGGACAGACGGCAGCAAGATCAGAGGCCAGCTCCAGGTCACCAGTCCAGCCTGAGGGTGGCCAGGGCTGCTGCTGAGCACATCCTGCCCCAGAAGTCCTGCCCAGGCCTCCCATAGTTTCCCAAACTTCCCGTCCCAGGGTAGAGACTTGCCCCACCAAAGGCAGCACTCATCCCTGGAGCCCAAGTCCAGGTGACCCAGAGTGAGGGCCTCAGGGCACAGGGCAGGGCAGAGCGCCTCCTGGCCAAGAGTCAGGGTCAGTCTCCCCCACAAACTCCTGAACAGAACCTGCAACTGCATCCTTGCAGCCTCCACAGCCACCTGGATCCTCCAACAGGAGGTGGGGGGAGTTGTGCCATCCCTGGGCGGGCTCAGAAGAACTCTACAGTTGCCTCTTCAGGGAGAAACACTCTTGGTGTGGGAGCCGGACTTCCAAAACCCACCCACTTCCAACAAGGAGCGAGGAGGACGAAGGAACTCAATTCAGAAGAGCCTCCTTGGTGCCTAGTGCTGGTCCCTTTCTGGACATTAGATCATCAAATCCCCGCCAAGTCCCCAGGGAGGGGTGACAGTGACGCCTCTTGGTCTGCTCACAGCCGTCGGCTACCGAGATAGAGAGCCAGGACTAAAGGCCAGGCCTCTTCTACATTCCCCCAGGCTGTTAGGGACCTAGGATCCTAGGGTGAGAATTTGAGGAGGGGGCAGGGCAGGAGGGTGAATCATGAACAGAGGGTCTCTTCCCCAGGGAAGGGCCCTCCTAGGCCTTCTTGGTGCTGGGTTCTAGCCTCCACCCTTCCTGGTCTTATTCCAATACCACAGACCCCCAGGGTGACTCTCCCTCCCCCACCAGGAGGCCAACCTCTGTGGATTACATCCCCCAACACATGTGCACACATATGAGCACACACACATACACACACACCCTGACTCTCTGGCGGCCAGGTAGGTTTAGCCAATGGGAGGGCCAGCAGGAGCTAGGGGGCTGTGAGGAGAGAAGAGCTGGGCTATTTGTCCCTCTTGGGGGTGAGGGGTGGTTGGTGGTGACTGCCTCCCCAACCCAGGCTTCAAGGAGGCTCTCTCTAGGTTCCAGGAACCAGGAGCAGCCTTCACCCCAGGACTGGAATCGGCTTCTGCCACCAAGCCCCAGATGTTCCTCACTTGCATGCTCTGAGCCATGCACACCTGTGTGCCGACCCCTCCCCGGTGCCTCATGGCAGGTGCCCCTCTGTCTCCCTCCCATGGACAGATACACTGTCCCCCGAGAATCAAAAAGCAAAGCTTCCACGTGGTGGTACCGAGCTTGGGGGTAAGGACCCTGTTCAGTAAGCTGCACATTACAGGGCAGGACTGGGATGGATCCCTCTGGCCCCCCGAGCATTAGACAGTGGTTCTCAGAGTGGGGTCCCAGGCCTGAAGCAGCAGCCTTTCCTGGGAACTTGTCAGAAATGCACATTCTTGGGCCCTGCCTGGAGCCAGCAAATCGGCCTGGCTTTCATAGGGATTCCACACCTGTCTGTCATTTGACAAGCTCTCTAAGGGGACTCTGGTGCACGCTCAAGTTCAAGAATCCCTGGCTGAGGAGGTCAGGCAGGCAGGGCGTGAACCTCAGCACCCCACTCACCAGTGTCAAGATGGGCAGGTCACTCTGCCTCTGCTTCAGTTTCCACCCCGCAGAGTGAGGACTCAGCACTGACCCCGCCAGGTTGCTCTGAACCAGTGCAGAAAGCACTTCTGACAGCCCTGGAGGTGTGAGCTGGGGTCACTGTTGGAGCTGGGGACAGGGCCACATACTCAGGGGAAAGTATCATTTGGGGGTCCAAACTGGGCCCAAATGAGTCTTTGCTCTGAACGTTCTGGCCCACCCCTGTGTCCTGCAAGCACTCACCCACGGTGAACCCCTGGAGAGCGGAAGGAGGACAGAAATGTGACCGATGACCCCTGGGGTTCCAGGCTGCAGGGCTCCAGCCCCTGGCCCTGGTGGCCGTGGACATCAGAGTGTGGGCTTTCAACAGACAAGCCAGGTCCAGGGCCCTCTCCAAGCCCCCACCCAGCATCTGGAAAACAGGTGTGATGAAAGCATGGGCCTCCAGGGCTCTTGGGAACCATAATGAGTCCATCCATCCTCCACCCTTGGGTCTCAGCAATTCCCTCCTGCTGACCCCAGCTCCAGACATAAGATACTGCCCCCGAGTGTAAGGGTCCATCGTCTCAAGGGTACAGGGTGCTACAGGAAGCAGAAAAGCAGAGCTATGGGCCACAGGGCCAGGGAGAGGAGAAACCCCCCCCCCCCCAGCCAACCCTTGGCTATGTTGAGGCATGGCAGGAGATGGGGTGGGACGGGGACTGCCCCAAAGGGCCTCTCTATCCCTCCTGGCCTCCTCAAACCTTGACCTTGGCTGCCACTAACCCATGAGATAACAGTGCCTAAGGACTTGTTGAGACTCTTGGCCAACCTCTGCTCCCGAGGGCCACCCTGGCAGCTTTTATGGCATATTTCCCTGCCCTGAGTCTCCCCAAGAACTCCTCCTCCACAGCTCTCCCCAGAGCATGGGGCCCCTGCCATGCCCAGGAGGCCTCCGGCTCCAACAGTCCATGTGGGCATCAGGGAGCTGCACTGGCCAGAGGCCAGCTCGGGCTGCTCTGCCTCACCACGCTCTCCTGGCAGACTCAGACCCAGGTGGCTCTTGCCCTGAGGCCAGCTGGATTGATGCTCAGGGGAGGAGGGGTGAGTGCTGGGACAGCATCTCCACTGGGACATTTCTGCAGTCAGAAGCATTCCATCACTGCTTTTCCTTTTGGGAAGGTGAAGGGGGCAGAAGAGGAAACCAGAAGAAACCTGACCCCAGCCTGTAGGTCCGAGGAGAGCCCGAGCCCGCTAAGATATTTCCCTGATCCCTGGAAGGGTTACAGTTACAGGCCTTTCCATTCCTTGCGGTTGGATGCAGCTTCCTGGCTGGGGGAAGGAATGACAATTCCCAAACTACAAAGGAGACCTAGTGAATGTCTCGGTGTTGGGCCACCTGCTCCCTGCAGAGTGAGCTTCTGGAGGCAAGGGGTGGGCACAGAGGAGGGTAGACGCCTACATATGGGGGCCCAGCAATGGGACACTAGAGTAAGGAGGTGAGAACCCAGGAGCAGGGGACAGCCTGGCTCAGCACAGCCCCGGACATCCCTTCAGGGGGGAGGGCGGCTTGCTTAGGGCTGTCTCCTTCACGTATGCTTTTAAAGGTTCCATTTTTACCCCCATGGTTCACCTGGGCACAGCCAGCGTAGGGGGAACCTTGAGGCTGAAGATTGGGGGATCCATTTCTGCACTGGGGCCCCTTGCATGCAGATTGAGGCTGTGAGTCTTGGACCCTCGGTGCCTCCCACTGGAGGAGACTTCAGCTGCAATGCCATATAACACACACACACACACACACACACATACACACAGAGACACACGCAGGCACACACACTCAGAGACACATATGCACACACACACGCAATCAGAAACACACATGCACACACAGACACACACATGCACACACAGACACACGCAGGCACATACACGCACACTCAGAGATACATGTGCACACACAGACACATGCACACTCAGAGACACACGTGCACACACAGACACACACATGCACACGGAGACATGCACATTCAGAGACACATGTGCACACACAGATACACACATGCACACAGAGACACATGCACACAGAGACACATGCAGGCACACACACGCACACTTAGAGACACATATACACACACATATGCACACAGAGACACATGCAGGCACACACACACACTCAGAGACACATGTGCACACACAGACACACGCATGCACACAGAGACACACACACAACTCAGAGACAGATGTGCACACACAGACACACACATGCACACGGAGACACGCACACTCAGAGACACATGTGCACACACAGACACATACATGCACACAGAGACACACGCACACTCAGAGACACATATGCACACACACACATGCACACACAGACACACACATGCACACAGAGACACACACACTCAGAGACACATGTGCACACACAGACACACACCTGCGTCCAGTGCAGCAGCCTCAGCACCTGGGATAGGCAGCCCCCTATGGCCACTCGAGCACAGCTCCACCTTCCAACTCGACTCATCAAGTGGGTCAAGCAGGGCTCTGGGGGCCTGAAGGACACCTCAGGCTCAGATATAGGGGCCAATGGGTCAACAGAGCTACCTACAAAACAGGACTTGAGTGTAGAGGGGCCTGCGTGGGGGTGGGGGTTCAATATAATTTGCTTATTTCCAACAGACCGTTTCTCAGCCACAAGCTCAGTGCCACAAACAGATGCATCCCTGACATGCTGGAGCCCCACATCAGCACATGGGCACTGGTCCCCTGTCCCAGACCAGCTCCTGGAAGCCCCACCAGCTGCCTTGGGCCAGCCCTGCACATGGTCAGCAGTCGGTCCTGGCCCAGGAAAGAAAGGCAAGTCATTTCTCCAGGCAGCAGAAACTCATTTTACAGGCAAAAATAAAGATAAATGAGCTTTGGCCACTCGAGGGGTAACGCTGGATCTGGACATGCACTCAGTCAACAAGGGCCACAGAACCATCTGGGTCTCTCTGGCAGACTCATGAAGGTCTGTGGGGCATCTGGGGCTGTCAGTCAGTGGGACACCCCACATTGCACCCCAGCCTCCTCCATTGCACCCCACCCTCCAGGGTGCTGCGCCTTCTAGCATTAACAGGAGGTCATGCTGTTTAAACTCAGCTAATGGTCCAGGAAAATAGCCAGAAGGAGTACGGCTGCCCTGAGCCAGGCCCCGGGTGGCAGCTTGTCAGATCCCTCTAGAAGGGAAGGTGGACATGACCAGCATCTTCTAGGACCCCTGTGGCTCCTCTGGGGTGAGGGGAGCAAATTGCAGCTCTGGCCCCTCTGCAGCCCCAGCCTCTACCGTTTTTGTGCTCAGAATAAGCCTCCAGAGGTGCCTCAGCCCAGCAGAGCCCTCTTCAGGGTCTAGCCGGGAGGGAGCTCTTCCTCACTCAGCCAACGGCCAGCCACTGCCCACCACAGCCCCAGTGCATGTCCAGGCATGTGCCAAGTGCTTGATTATGGAGCAAACGTCTGGGATGATAGATCTGCAGTCGTCATGGACCCAGACTCACACGTGCGCTAACAGGGGTCCCCAGGTGAGCATGTGCAGACAGGGAACAAGAGGCACAGCCCCACCCCATGTCACAGGGGGGACCGGGAGAAAAGAAGGCAGTGAGACTTTGGGACAATCAGGAAGCAGGAAGAGGTGACCAACTCTCATGCCACCCATTCTCTCCCAGGGCGCCAGGTGCACGGGTGGGACACAGAAAGCCCATGCTTGGCAGCTCCCAGAGCCTTCAGCAGCTGTGCTCTTGGTTTCCCCTCTCAGTAGACGTCTGACCACCTCTACTGAGCATCTGGCCACCCCTGGGACTCCGAGGAGCCTGTGCCCCATGATACCCTGGGGCCAACCCTCTGAGGTGAAGCCGGCTATGCCACAGAGGCCAGGGTGTCCCTTCTAAAAGCTCCTCCAGCAAACTCCTTGGGATCACAGGACAGAGGAATGTCCGGGAGAAGTCACGCAGAGTCAAGACAGGCTGCTCACATTTCTAAAGCAAAAGGCCCCCCACCCCCACCCCAAACCCAGGGACACCATTCCTTCAAAAAAGCCACAAGAAAATCTTCCTTCTGGTAGTAAAGTGAGCCCCAGAGTGGGGTTCCTGGGGGTACAGACTCCTCCCACTCCACAAGGACACTTGTCCTGCACTGCCAGGTAAATAGCAGGTCCTTCAGGGCAGCGCTGGACAGGATGGAACCCCTCCTGTGGCCCCTGAATGGGGGCGGGCCTGGCAGACAGGAGGCCCTGCCAGGGCCCTTCCTGAGCTCTGCAGGCCCCAGGCCCGTAATACGCGGCAGGGAGTGCTGGGGGGGGGCGGCTCCCCACTCCTCCTCCACTCCAGTTTTCCTTTGAGGCGACTGCAAGGATTGGTTTGCTGTTTGAGAGAGACGGCTAAACGGCCCCGTTGGGGAATCATCTTTCAAAATTAAATTCATCTTGGCTGGCTCCCTGACCCTCTCTTCCTGCCCATTCTGGCACCAAACTCCCTCTCCGACAGCCCGAAGCGCAGAAGCGCACGTGTGGAACACACAGACCAACTCTGCCCGCTCCAGGTCTGGGCACAGCCCGCCCTGCGAAGGCCCCCAGACTCCAGGAGACAGGCTTGGGAGGAAAGTGGGAACACGCAGCTCCCACCGGACCCTGCCCGGAAAGGGGCCCAGATTCCTCACCTCTTCCCAAAGCGCAGCATCTGCCCGAGCCTGCAAGACCCACCCACGTCTCGGAGCGAAGCAAGGAGGGAGGAGGCGGGAGAGTCGGCGAGGGGCCTCCTCAGACGGGCCCCAGACCCAGCCCTGGAACCTTGCGTCTCAACCACCCTTCCCGAGTTAAGGGAAAGGGCCCATTGTTCAAGGGCTCCAGGGGACAAAGCCTCGCGAGCCCGTTCCCGGAGGGCTGCCCAGGGGCCCGGGGCTCCACACCCCGCCGAGCCCTCCCAGCTCTGCTACTCACATGCTGGGCTGCAGCTGGGGCAGGGGCCGCAGCGGCGCGCGGGCAGGCACGGCGGGGAGCAGCAGCAGAAGCGCCAGGGCCACCCCGCGCCCCACCGCCCTCGTCTCCGCTGGGACAGGCATCACGGGCGCGCGGCTTCGCGCAGGGTCCCTGCTCCGGCCCCCGGCTCACAGGAGGCCCGGGAGGCCCCTTGGAGCCTTCACCTCCTCGCGCGCCATAGCCGGGAGGGCTCACAGGACGCAGCCACAGGTGCCCGTTCTGGGCTCGCGAATTTCGTGATCGCTGCAGGTGCGGAGGGCCCGGCCTCCCGCCGGCGCCCAGTGGCAGCGCCGAGATCTGCGTGCTTGGCTCCGGCCGGTGGGACACTAGCCGGGTCGCGGAGAGCGCGGGGAGCCAGAGAGACCGCCCCGCCCCCGGCACGCCCCCAGCCCGGACCCCGGACCCGGCCACGCCCCCAGCACGCCCTCGGCCCTGTCCCCCTCCCCGCAGCGCCCCGCCCCCGCTCCTCTCCGGTCCCGCCCAGACCCCCCCTCAAGCCCAGGCTACAGCTTCCAGCCCCACCCGGCTCCCGGCCCCACTCACAACCTTCCCGGTGTCCCAGGTCCGGACCGACCCGAGGACTGTCCCAGGCGGGGTCCAGTGCCAGGAGCAGTTCCCGACCCCTAAGCGGCCGCACCCCAGACCCCTTGGAGGACCGTCTCCCGTTCTTCTCAAATCTCAAAGCGGGATTCAGCTTCGTCTTGACCTCCCCATGTCCTCGCCCCTGGCACTTCATCCCCGCCACAGGTGGGTAGGGGGGTGGGCACCCTCTGCAGCCCCCATGTACCTCTGGACGCCCCATTCTTGGTCCATAACCACCTTCTGGGCATTTTTATTCTTATTTCTGTGCAGTGTTGAACAGGGGCCTGGAATAGGTGGATACAGGGGTCCCAGCAGCCACAGCCTTAGAGAGGGGGTACCCTGCAGGCCCAGAAGTGCCAGCAAGGGCTAGGCTCCTGTCTGGCTGACCAGCTTGGAATTGACCGGCTCCATGGATCCTCCCCAGACACTCAGAACTGGCTCCTCAGGAAGTGTGCAGGGAGGCACCGCCAGGTGGAGGGAAACCCCTGCCGGTCCTGGCTGGAATGTGCACTGGCCATTGGCCCCTCCACCACAGGCTCTTCTTCCTCCAACACTTCCCGCAGTTTGAGTGAGGGAAGCCTCATGGGTCCCCTAATCCTGAAAGCACTGGAAGGAGCCCCTGGCTGGGAGAGGCTTGGGAAGTGGGACTCCCAACTGCCCAGCTGCAATGGTGCCCCTCAACCCACAAGTGCCCTGTCCCCTCCACCCTGTCTGGAGGACCACGGTCATTTGGGGAGGGCCTTGTCCAGCCACCTGTGCATTCCTTTTGCTTTATGGAGGGACACCCCAGGTCATCCCACTTGTAGACTGCAGATCTGGTACTGAACACAGGGATCTGGCTCCAGGACTCTGTTGCTTGTAAATCAGAAGAAAATACTGAAGGGCACAGCTTGGTCAGAAGTCCCCATGGAGTTGAGTCACTGTCCTCTAGAACCCCAAGCCCAGGCTGGCACCACTGCTTGATGAAGCCCCAAACTCCCCCAAGTCCGCTCACTGCTCCCTGGGGTACAGCGGCAGGGCTGGCTTAGGCTGAGCTTTGAGGGCCACTTTCCTCCTGGTCCCCCCTGTAGCACTGTGCTTCTAGGAGCCTGCACCAGAGAAAACCTCCCTAGCTCCCCATCTCGTCCTTGTCCTTCCGTCTAGAGCAGCTTGGCACAGGTGCGGCCACCAGCGAGCGTGTGCCACAGGGATGGAGTCACCTTTAACATGGTCAGCGGTGATCTGCTGAGTTCCACCCTGCAGGGATGGGGGGTGGTGACGCATTGTTTCAGAAAATTCTCCAGCTTATCAGAGGAAGAAGGAAGGAATTTGGGTGGATCACGTGGGTCTGAACAGCGGTGGAGGATTCAGGTTTTATGGGGCCTGAAATGTGAAATTGGGGCCCTGTGGAAGAAAAGACATACAAAAATAAATTATTTTGCTAATTTTACAAAAATACATGACCTGTGTGTACATTTCCAGGCTGCACTCCCAGCCTTAACTTGAAAAGGCCCCCAAAGCACAAGCTTTGTCAGACTCCTGGTGATTCTCTCTCTGTCCCGGGCACTTCACCCAGGTCAGCAGCTGGGTGAAGCATTTTAGGCAGGTGCTGGGTGAGAGACAGGCAGGGAGAGGTCAGGTGCTTCTGTGGGATGTCCCTATGGCTTAGGATGCCTGCTTTGCCCCCCAGACATGCACAATCTTTTCCCACACCATCCAAGGCAGTGGTAGGGATCTACTGGGCCAGTCTATGGTCTTCCCACAACTCCGGACAGAGCCCTTGACCTCAGGTACAGGTGTGGATGAGTGAAACCCCCACGCAGAGCCCCCTCCCAAAACAAAGCCCCTCACACAGAGAAATGCAAGTGGGCAGGCCCCTGGGCTGTCCACATCCATCTCAAGTCCCACCCCCTTCACCACTAAGCCCACCTCTTCTCCCCAAGCTGGCACTGGAGGGTATGAGCCACAGTTATACATCTAACCTGACAAGCCACAGAAGAGGGTCCTGAGAGTTTACATTTAGAAAAAGCAATCAAACAACAAACGTGTTCTTTAATGTACTTCTACATGTGGGTTTAACTCACAATGAACAAGTGCGCTTGTACTGCAATCAAACTAAACCAGGGGCACAGTGGCACAGTGGGGTGAAGAGTGCCCCCCAAAAGACAGGTCCACGTCCTAACCTGCGAATGTGAACCCATTTAGCAAAAGGGTCTCTGCAGATGTAATCGATGAAGGGATAACCATAATAAAGTGGGACGTAGTAAATATTCTCCAAGAAATATCTATCTTTGTCCATTTTTGTAATAAGCACTTAGCTTAGAAAGTTCACGAATGTTTTATTCTTTCTTACTAACTTTTCGCATTACTTATTTCATATGGAATTTACCCTGCTACGTGCTGTTAGGGGAGGACCTAACTAGTTAGCCAGCTGTTCGGGTTCTCAGCAGACCTGCTTTGGCGGCTGTGAGACAGCGTCTAATCACTGTGGGAGCTGTCCCTGGGTATCTCCACCGGTTCTTACTTCAGCCCGAAATCACTTTACTGAGCATATTTTCCTTGCATCACTGGAGCAAGACACAGGTGTTGATGTGGCATTTAAATGACAGCACCCCCCCTCACTCTTGCCCCTCTCAGTACACCAGTTACATGGGTCATGTCCATTATTCTTGCAAAGCAGCTTCCAAGTCACTGTATACAGTTCCTTCAAAGTTGCATTGGACTTTTAATTGCATTTGCCTTAAATGTGTATGCATTCATTTGAGAATAGGCTTCCCTACAGCAATCATATTTGGGAACGGGAGGGACGGCAGCCGGAGGTGCACTTTCTAACCAGCCAAAGGAGCATGGGAGAGATGAGGATACGGGTCCTGGTGCCCCCCCCCCACATCGTCCTCTTCCCAGGGGGTGATTTCTTGCGGCTTTGCAGGCCCACTGGTCACAGCTGTACATCAGGTGGGGCCTTGGCCCAGCCCATATTCCCACCCCCATAGCCTTGAGTGAGACTTTAGCCAACATCCTCATTCCACCTTTAGGACTGGCTGGCTCCACTCGCAAGATGCAACCACTGTCTGATCATCACAATCCCAAACATTTGTGGGCATCGGACCCCCAATGTGTGATGTCCACACCCAGGCTGGAAGAGGGTCCTGAGCCACAGTGTTGACTGTGGTCTTGGCCCCGCCCCTGGACACACCTCCCTGTCCAGAGGTCTTAGCCCTCCCCTCTTCATCTGGCACTATGGAAAATGCCTCTGGCCCAGCAGGACACTCAGGTTGCCACTCCTGGGTCACACATGGAATGGGCTCTGTTGGGGGACATCACCCAAAACAGACATGAGGAGTAGCGGTGGCTCCACCTTTACAGCTGGCAAACGATCACCCCAGCTTGCCTGAAAAGCATTATTAGAAGATGCTACTTTTCCATGTTCTCCTTTCATTCTCTGCTGGAAATAATAAAAATAGCCTCTAGGGAGGAAGAAGACTCTGGCCACCGGCTTGGCTGATGATTCCCCGTGCTAATTTCCAAAGCAAACTGCTCCCTCCTCCTTCCAGAGAGCTGGGTATGGGTGTGCCCTGCCCTCCGCCTCTCCAGCCAGAAGTGATCCTCTGAGAGGTGGAAGAGAGAATCCCACAGAGAGGAATTCAAAACATCCTTTGAAGCTCCCTGGACTAACATGTCTATAGATCCAAGAAAATAATCTAGCATCTTGTCTGAACTTTTACAAACACTTCCGTCAGGAGATGGAGCAAATTATTTAATGCTGAAGGTGTTTCCAAACCCTCGGATGCCTGGGGCCCAGGGTGACCTCTGAGGTTGATACTGGCGACGGCACCCTCACCCACTTCTGTGAGACAAGGGGAAAGGCCAGCATCACTGGCCACAGGCAGAGATGGGGGTGCGGGGGGTGATCTCAAGATAGCAAAACATCTGAATCTGCACCAAATTCTAAGTCCTGAGAAGTCTTTAGGTGGCTGATTCTGAAGTTCATTTCTAAATCATCGAATTTACCCCAGAATAGGAACTAAAACAAAAGGACCAATCTATAGCAAACTGAAACTGGGCTGTGTGACACGGCCTAGAGAAGGCCTGGGTAGAGCAGCCCCCTGCCCAGCTGCTGGCCCAGATGAGCCCTGGCCCTGCCCCTTCCTGTGCCTCAAGGACCTCTTGGGTGAGAGGGGCACTGCACAGTGGCCTTCTGAGGCTGCCGCTGCTCAGGGTTTATGCCAGCAGCCTGTTGGTTCTTATGACCAAGGCAGGAGGATTGCTTGAGGCCAAGAGTTTGAGACCAGCCTGGGCACTACAGCAACTTTATTTCTACAAAAAAATAAAAATTAGCTGGGCGTGATGGCATGTACCACCTGCAGTCCCAGCTACTCGAGCACTCCAGCCTGGGTGACAGCAAGATGCTGTCTCTCCTGCTCTTGAGGTGCTGGAGGGCTGCCTTTTTTTTTTTTTTTTGGCTGGGGCTGGTCTGAACCTGCCACCTCCAGCATATGGGGCCGGCGCCCTACTCTTTTGTGCCACAGGCGTGCCGCCCTGGAAGGCTGTCTTGTCCATCCACAAGGCCAACGTGTGTGGGCAGGGAAGGGTGTTGTTTTGTAACATACACCTGCTGAGGGTTCATGACAGCCAAGCACCACTGCGCCTCAAGCCTCCACGCAGGACCACTGAGCTCAAAATCTGAGAGGCCGGGAAACTGCCCCTGGGGATCGCTGAAGGTGAGCTCCCACCCCGACACAAGAACACCCTGCAGGCCTCTGCTGGCCTGACCTGGAGGCTGATGCAAGCACCCGAGCGACCCTCTCAGCACTGAGGTCCCTCCCTGGGGCTCCTGTTTGGTATTCAGCCCCAGACTCCATGTCCACCAGGGACAGGTGTCAAAGTTGGGGCTCACTGATGCTGTAAAGTGCTTCCCCACAAAATGTAATGGCATTATATAGGGCTCCACTGGCCTGGGTGGTGCTGCCACCTGGTGGCCAAAGGGCTGTTGCCTTTTTCAAGCCCTCACCAGCTCCTGGGACCCCATCACAGCCTGTCCTCCCTGCCTGGTGACCAGCTCATGTGGGCAGAGCAACCCCCTCATCCTTCCTTGTTTGCTCATGGACGACCAATCTGTTCCAGGTTGAACTGTGTCCCCCCAAATGTACAAAATGTTCAAGTCTTAACCCCAAG